CCCCCCCCCCCCCCTTTGGCCAGCACGCCGGCCACGCTCATGCACGCCCCCCGACCATGCACGTTCTGCAGCACATCTTTGCACCGCCAGCGATGCGTGGAGTCAGTCCTGATCCAGGATCGAAGGAGGCGTAGCTCTCGCCTTGGCAACTGTCAGGGAGCAATCTATTCATGGATCCGGAAGTTATCATCGCGGCACGAAGGTGCACAGGGTCAGCTTCGGCACTTTCACTCCTTCGGCCCTTTTCTTCCAGCCCACTTTAGAGTGTGCGCCCCATGGTGAAGCTGTGCGCAGCCGCATTGCCGGCTCGCCTCCCACAAGCACAGCACAGATGCACGGTTCCAGCTCGGTGGGACGCGCGTAAGTTAACCCTCTTCCCCTTGCGCCTTGTGCCTCTGTACTCCGCCCACCTCATGCGCCGGCCGCTCCGCTCGGTCAATCTTCTGCCGCACTTTGCATAAGCTAGCCATGAGTCCGGACGAGCTGCTGCACCGATCCCGCAGATGTCTTGACCTCTTTCGCACTTCTTCCAGTCACCATCATCACATACGCATCTCTGACGATGTCGACTTGGCAAGACGTCCAGAAGCTGCCGCTCCTGCCCTTGCAACATGATCAAGTCGCATCACATCTCAATCGCGTGCAAGACGCTGGACTCCCACATCCCACACATCCTCTTTCGAAGCTTGCCCGCACTTCCGCATCATGGACTCGTCATCTCAACACCCTCGCCGAGAGGTCTTCCACCGGGCTGGTCCCGTGGCTGATCGTTCTGCCCCTCCTCGCTTCAGTATTGGCACACGTCTACTTTCACATGTTCTCCACTCTGCACATCTACCTCGCTCTGGTCTGGCTCGGCGTCCCCGCTGCCACCGTCTCGACCCTCGCAGCCATCGCTTCTAGATCTGCAACCAAGTCGGCATCGGGACGTGATCGCCTCAAGGCTACTGTTCTCCTCACACTGCTGTGTACCGTCATACGGCGAACATTCACCGTCAATCCTCGTCAGGCCTTCTCAAACGACCCCTACGAGCAAAGCCAGAATCAGACGTTCTTCATCGCCGTCGATATGTACAACTCGGAACATCTCTTTCCCTCGTTCTCGCAGTCGCTGCTCACGCTCGCCGAGCGCTTGGGCAAGAGCAACGTGTTCGTCTCGATCTACGAAAGCAACTCCAAAGACAGCACAAAGCAGCATCTACTTCGGCTCCAGTCCGAATTCGGCCTTCGCGGCATCAGCAATCAAATCCGCATGATCGACAACAGCAGACGCGAAGAGCTCGATCGCATTCAGCGCTTGGCCATGGTCAGGAACGAGGCTCTCAGGCCCATCCATGACGGCATCGACGCTCTCAACAATCAGACCTTTTCCAAGCTCATCTGGCTCAACGACATCCTTTTCCGTCCCGGTAAGTTGCCATCCGCTCTGGCACCTCCAGATGCATACAAGCACCCAGTACTAGCCCTGACCGCAACGACTCGCTTTCCCTCATCACTGCACAGAATCGGTGCTTGAGCTCCTGTCGACCAACGGAGGCACCTTCGACCAGGTCTGCGCACTCGATTATCTCCCTCTTGGCTTTTACGATACGTAAGTGCCCCGCACCTCTCCCTCAGTACCGTGCTTTCGAGGCGGATCACGCTTGGAGAGACTTCTGACCCAATTCCATTCCACTCTCGCAGCTGGGTGATGCGCGATGTAGAAGGAGATCGTCCCACCCCATTGTGGCCCTATTTCAAGCGAGAAAAGGACGTCAACAGCTTGCGGAGAGGCGATACCATCCCGGTCAACAGCTGCTGGAACGGCATGACGATTTTCGACGCCAAATGGTTCCTCCCGTCTAATGACTCTGCCACCGGTACGCCGGGTGTCGACGATGGCCCGATTCGCTTCCGAACACATCCCGAGTGCAATGTCTCGGAATGCCTCCTGCCCAGCTACGACATCCACGTTCGCAGCAAATCGAGGCCCTTGATTTTTGTCAACCCGAGAGCGGTTGCCAGTAAGTGCCCTCGTCCCTTTCCCGAATCGTGCGTGCTCAGCCTGACAGTTTGCGATTTCCTCTACAGCATATCAATACCGCGACTTCTTGATGTACGACCGCATCATGCGCTCCAACATCGTCACCCTCTGGAGTCGCGTGTGGCAGGATCTGATCAGCCACTCCCTCTTCGGGTTCATGGTCGAGATTGGTAGAAAGAAGGACGAGTGTGCCGACACCCTGCGAAAAGGTTGGAAAACCTAGGTCGATGCATCCAAAGTCATGTATAGAGTCGCTTTATCATCAACATTGGCGGG